TTTCATTTAGGCTTCAGTTAATTTTTAATAAAAGACATTGAAATATTACAGCTGAAGTTCCTCTCTCTCTCTCTCTCTCTCTCTCTCTCTCTCTCTCTCTCTCTGCAAGTCCCTTTCCCTTCTCCCTCCCTTCCTGCTGGAGATGAGTGCTATTTTGGGGGCTAAAAGAATGAGTACTTTTCCTCTCACTTTCTTAGTTCTAACTGGACTAATAATCAAATTAGCAAAGACAGATTAACATGAGAAAATCAAAATTTTAATACATGTGCATGGAGAATTCACATCGGCATAAAAATTCCAAAGACAGCAAGGCAACATTGGGTATCTATGACATTTTTGGACAAAGGAGAAAGGTGGGGACAAGGTCCTAGATTTCAGAAGTGAGAATGGGCGATTTACATGTAGTTGAGGAAGAAGAGAACACACAGGCAGGCAAGCTGCGAGGCAATCCAGGAACAATGGGACACCCCGTCTCTAGCTAACAGGCTTAGAGCCTTCCTGACTGATGCTAGGGTGCAGATTCCTAAGGTGATTAAAAGCCAAGGCTCCCTTCTTAAAGCAGGCTTCTCTGTCTGAATCGCTTGGGCAGAAAAGGGGGAGGGTCAGAGTTTCTTACTGAGTCTTGTCTCAAAAAGTAGCTTCGGGGTGGCAGAACTTGAGTCCCTTTCCTTACCATGCTGTGGTGTGCCGTTCTTCCAGCCCACGTTGCTCATTTTCCCCACATGCATAGGTGCCTATGAATGGCATTGTTTGGTGTTTTTTTAAAAATATCTCAATTGCATCATTCTGCATGTAAAACTCTGTCATCTGGTTTTTCATTCATCACAGTTTGGGGAATATCCAAAGCAATACTGATGGATCTATTTTATTCATGTCGGGAGCCAAACAGCAGTCCTTAATCCACGGGTGAGCACATGTAGGTTTATAGTTGTGACTATGTAAAACATATAGTTCATTCTTGTACTATTATTTATTAATTATTAGTTTATTTATCTGTACTAGCTGTAAACCTACTTTTGCCCACCCCAGTCTATCCGCATTTATTCTGCACTAATAGACATTAGGATTTTTGACAGATTTTACTATCACTCAATGTGCTTCACTAAACATTTTTATACCATGTCTCCATGTACACAGATGCAAGAGTGTCTTTTTTAAAAATGTACCTAGAAGTAGAATTGCTAGATAGGAGGGAGTGGGAGTGGGATGCACCAAGTATTCCAGATGTTGCCAGATTGTTTTCCAAAGTGCCCATACACATTTATAAACACATTAGAAGTGTGAGGCCCCTCTCTACCCCATTTTTGCCAGCATCTGGTCTTGTAGACCTTATTGTTACCAAATGACATCTGTTTTACACCATTTCTCTGATTACTAATGAGGTAAAATGATTTTTTCATATGTTGATTGGCCATTTGGTTTTCCTGAAGTCCCTGCTTCTAGTCTTTGTTGGATTTTCTATCAGGTTTTGCATTTTTCCTTATTGATTTGTGACAGATTTTCTGGATTTTGATATAGATATATATGATACATACATACATTTTATATATGTATATATACCCACACATACATATATTCAAAAAGGTGGACAACCACAAAATTAATATACAACATTAATTGACAAAATTAACAGTTCATATATAGAAAAAATCAGTTGGGAGATAATGAGAGCCTCATTTGTGAAGTAGCATAAACATAAAATATTTAGCAACAACTTTATTAAGAAATATAAAGACATTTTAAATTAGCCTTGTACATTAATGAAAAGACTTTGAAGAGACCAGAGTTTTGCCTCCCTGAAGCTGATTTTGAGGAGGCTGAATTTAAGCTGTTGATTAAGAAACAAAAGACTCAGAAAGAAACTCTGACCTGCCTGGCCACCTGGGGCCCCCCATCCCCCACCTCCTCTGCTGCCCAAGAAACTCAGGCAGAGAAACCCGCTTCAGGAAGGAGAGCTTAGGATACTGCTTTAGTAAATAAGAGGGCATCAGGCAGGCCCTGTTCCCTTCCTTTCTCCTTTATCCAAAAATGTCTTGTGTATCCAATGTTGTCTCACTGTCTTGGGAATTTTTATGGAATTATCATGCCTATGCAAATTCCCCATGCACTTGTATTAAACTCTGAATTTCTCCTGTTATCTGTCTGTTAATTTGATAATTAACCCAGCCAGAAGAACTTAGAAGGTAGAAGGAACAGTATAAAAATGTTTAGCCCCAACAACATGTCAATTCGTGGTCGAAGAAACTCACATCATAAAGATGTAAGTCCTCCCAAAATGAGTCTACTGATTTAACCCTATTAAAAATTCAAGTAACTTTTTCATTGAACTTAAAACCAAGTCCACATACCAGAGTAAAAAAATTCAGGGAGAACTAAGGCAATGAGTAAAAGTGAAAATGAGAAGTATACCCTAGAGGTGACAACAGTTATAAAATTGCAGGAACCACATATGCCAGCAGAGAAATACACAAATGGACATTGATTCTCATTGTGTCTTGACAAATTTTGGAAGAAAAACATTCCACTATTGTTATGTCTTTAGTGACTAAATAATTCATTCTCTAGTTTTTAAGTACTCTAGTTACTACTCCAGGAGTAACATTCTCTAGTTACTACATTAAGTAAGAGGAAAAAATAAGTGTTATAGTCTGGCTGATGGCTGCCCCCCAGCAGCCTCTAAGACAGGAAGATCCACTGAGCCCCTAATCCAAAGAAAAATCGTTTTCTGGCCCCAGACTCAAGAAATGCAGGACAAGTAAACGAGCTGCTCTGTGCCATCACTTTCCTTACCTATCACAACAAGCTGTACGGAAAGATATTACTTTCATAGAACCATAGGAGTGTTTATGCTAGAGTTGGAAGAAACTGAAGTGATCCTTTAGAGCACATGACTTATTTTATAGAAGGGACGGAGGCCCACTGAACTCAGTGGTAACAATACCACTTGGCGTTTGTCAGTATGGCCCTAATGCGGTGGATAATTCCAGGAAGCATAAGGAATCTTTAAGGAGCTCCCAGCATGAAATCATGGCAGGCACGGCTATGCCAACAAATGCTGCTGGAGACAGGTGGAAACCATGAGACAAAACTCATGAGAGCTGCTGGGTGCCTGGCACCCCTACCTGAGCCAGCTGTATCTGACTGTCCCAGTTTCCCAGCCAACTTGACCTTTGAGAGACAGAAGCCAGTCTCTTTTCTAGTGATGATTCTCCTTGGAATATTCTCAGAGCATTTTTGCTCATCTTCCCCACATACCATTCTGCTTTTAAAATTAATTGATTCAAGTGTCGCAGGTTCGGTTCCCAGTCAGGGTACATGCCTGGGTTGCAGGCCATGACCCCCCAGCAACCGCACATTGATGTTTCTCTCTCTCCCTCCCTTTCTCCCTCCCTTCCCTCTCTTGAAATAAAAAATAAATAAAATCTTTAAAAAATAAATACAAATAAAATTAATTGACTCAAATGACAAGTGCTCAGAGCAGAAGCCACCATTTGGGTAGCTATGCCCCAAGTCCTCATTTGGATGTGATTATAATTCAATATGACTCTATTTATTCACTTAGTGGGGTGTAAAATTTATCATATAGTTTTTTAAAAATATACTAGAACATTCTTTTAAGTACTATCTCACAATATCTATACTAGGAACTATGTGTTACTGTCTCCATTTAACAGGGAAGCTGAGCCTCAGGAAGACAGAGACCTCCCCACGGACACAGGGCGCGAGGGCAGAGACAGGATCCCTGGCCAGCTGGGTCTGGCAGAGCCCCACACCCACCATTTGCATGGTGCCAACTGTCAACTCAGCTTAGAATGACTCTGGGCTCACTTGGACAGGCTGCGTGCTGATGCCTTGAAGTTATGTAAGACAGGGATTCCAGAGAAATATAGGACATAAATATTCAAAATTTAGAGCAGGTTGTTCTGTGGCCATGGATTGTAGAATCACCAAGCCGCCTGGCCTGTACCATTCTACTACTTCTTTAGAGGATCAGTACTTCACTTTGCTGCTTCTTGATTTCATGAAATTAAGAAATTCATGTGCTGACATCACACATTAGATATATGGGCCTGGTGATTAAATGGGTGTAGTGTCAAGTACAAGAATTAAAAATTAATAAGATGGTAATAAGGATCTATAGCTTTAAAAATGTAGTGATAACAAGATACCTTCTATGCCATTCTTTTCACTACTTAATCCCTGGCACTCTAACACCTTTTCCATTCCTTGAAGTTTTGAAGATCTTTCCTGTTCCAGTGAGGTCTTTACATTTACTCTTCCCTTTGCCTTAAAACTTAGTCTGCCATAGTTTTCGCATGATTCCTCTTTTTCCTTTGGGTCTTGAGTCAAATATTAACATCTCAGAAATGTCTGCTCTCATCCCGTATCTAAGAAGGCTCCACAGTTATTCTCTATCAAATCCCCTAGTTTGTTTCTTTCCTATTTGTTTCAGTCTGGAAGTATTCTATTGGTTTCTCTTTTTTTGCAGTTGGAGATTCTTTTTGTCCACTATTGAATTTCCATCACCCAGAACAGAGTCTAGAAAATGATGGTAGCTCACTAAAAATTGATTAGGAGGCCTAATGAGTGAATGAGGAACCTCGTAATAGAAACAGTAAGAATGATCAGAAAACCCTTTTCAGCTACATTTTCATAGAGAGATTTAGTCATGAAAATGGGGGGCCGATTATACTTCCACATTCACTTCCACAGCCCTGGTCAGTCAATTCTGACTTCAGAGGCAAAAGGGACCTGGGACTTGCAGATGCTGGGTTTTGCATCCCAGCTCAGAAAACCCCGTCTTGTAAGCATAACGGGGATATCAGGACCCTTCTCTCTCAACTCCTTCGGTGTGTGTTCTGAGCCCTGCAAAAGTTGCTATTTACTGGGTTTTGTCAGGCCAACACAAAGTAAATATTTTCAGTTCCCAAATGCTGGAGAGAGCAGGGGAGAGATCAAATGACAGTGCTGGGAGTCAACTCAGCCTCGTGCGGCAGCAGGCCGGTTCTGCACACGCTGGGAGCTCATGGATTAAGAACACATGGCGAGGGTGGAGTCCCTGCAGACAACTCTGCGACACAGGAGAAGAATTTAAGCTGCTCTCGAAAGAAATCAACAACGGCAAATCAAGAGCCAGGTACTGTCAGTGCCATGCATTCTCCAAGGCTTGTCAATACCCCATCCATGCCCAGATGCGGTGCCTTTTAGAAGTGCAGAACAGGAGGGGCGGTGGGGAGAGATGCCCAGCCGATCAGCAAGAGGAGCAGAAATAGGTCTGCTGGATGATCATTAAAGAAAGCAAAGCCTTGGTAGTCCTGAGCTCAAGTGTTTGAAAACCATGCTTATCTGTAAATAAAATCACTGAAAACTGTGCCTGTTGCTTGCTCTCTCCTGCAAGAGAACAAGATCTTGGCACCTGATCAGATGCTTGAAGAGCCACCTGAAATGAAGCCACACTGAGGCTCAGGGTCACAGTGCTGTTCCTGTGCAGGGTGGGTGGCTCTAAGCCCTCCTCGATGCTGTTGGCCAACAGGAGAGGTATTGGGGCTTGCCCAAATCGGCCCCAACAAGGCACTTCTATGTAGTTTCTAACATGATTAATCTAATTTGTTTTAGGTTCTGGGAAACTGGCTATACTACAAGGTAGCTTCCTGGAAACTTATGAAAACTTACATCCAAAAATGCTTGAGCAAATTAGACATTAAGGGGCCGATTGTATATGTTTCGAATCAACAAGGTGCTACATAGATGAAATTGATCTATCCAGAAAAGGTTTATAGTTTAGGAAAATTTAGGTTTTGAGAAAGCAACATATGTTCTTCTCAAGTTTTCTCATGCTCAGTTGTAAAGAATCATTGAACCACCCCCCCTTAAGAAAGGTACTAAATCTATCATCAGAAAGATATCAGGTAGCACACCCATCTGTTGCTGTATTAACATTTTAAAAGGATTCACTAAGAGTGGAGATGCTTTTCCCTTAGAAGCTGCCGGACTGCTCTCTGTGCCAAATGCAGGTAGCTGGGATTGTCTTCGAGGTAGGGAATAGCCCTGGAGTGGGAACCTCCCAACCTACCTGTGTGGAAGAGAAGGGCTGAAGACAGAGCTCAAGCTCTCATTTTTCCAAGCGAGAAAATGGACTCCTAGTTCAGTTAGATAATTTTTCCTAAAGAAGCATAACCAATGGACTAATGAGAAAGCCAGCTTGAGGAATTCCATCTCCTGATTTCTGGTCCACTACCATCTCCATTCTGCAAAATCTATTTAGGTATTCCCAAGAGGTGCAATCCTCGAAGCCTCCTCTAGAGGCCTCTTTCCATACTGAAACTGGTCCACCAGGGTAGTTTTAGAACTCGGGTTTTTCAATCTAGGACTTCCCTGTTCTCCAAAATTGAGAAATTGGTTTTTAAAAATATTTATTTCTATATTCTAAGTGGGGACTATAAATCAAAACCAAGCCATTAAACAAGCCACAGTTCAAAGCTCTCTCTACTTGCCCTAGACCTCTAATAACATTTGCTTGAGGTAGAAATCAGCTAGGCTTTTCAGATGCTTAAAAAGCATGTTGGACCCTGGCCAGGTAGCTCAGTTGGTTACAGTGTCGCCCAGATATGCCAAGGGTGAGGCTTTGAATGCCTGTCAGGGCACATACAAAAATCAAACAATGAATGCATAAGTAAGTTGGAACAACAAATCAATGTTTCTCTCTGCCCCTACACCCACTTCTCTCCAAAAAAAAACCAAAACAAAACAAAAACAAAACAAAACAAAACAAACAAACAAAACAAAAAAAAAACAAACTATGGCATGTTGGGAAGAGATGGCCCAGGAGAAGATTATTTCCCAGGCGCCTGTTAGGCTCAGTTTTGTGGCTGTCCTCCTCATTGATTTCATTTTTTAAAGAGTCAAGTTTTATGTCATAGTCTAACTAGGAATATCATAGATGTATCTGTTCTTTCTCAAAACAGCTTCTTCTGTTTTATAAAGAACAAAAATTTAACCTTTCTTTTCTATGTGTGAAATAAGCCAGAATAGAATTCTCTTGAAAATTGAGCTTTGTTTTAAAGTAAGAAAAATCCTATCACCTATCCATAAAACAAATGGAGTAGATTGTTATAAATTACTTGACAGCATTAAATATGAAATGTAGGGCTTATTAAAATTATACCTGTCCTAGGTGGTGTTGCTCAGTGGATTGAGTGCCAGCCTGCAAACCGAGGGATCCTCTGTTTGAATCCTGGTCAGGGCACATGACTGGGTTGCCGGCCAGGACCCCAGTTGGGGGTGTGCAAGAAGCAACATACTGATTAAAGTACCTCTTGTACATTGATGTTTCTCTCCCTCTCTTCCCTTCTCTCTAAAAATAAATAAATAAAATCTTTAGAAAAAATAAAATTATACCCTATTTTTGGTCACATGTGTATTCCAAGAGACAGCATGACATGCAGCAAGTACTCAATAAACAGCTAGTGAATGAATGGATGAATCCTCAAATGTGAAGTTTCCACTCTAGGTAGTTGACTTGGGGATTTTAATCCCACTGTTGAAATATCCTGCTGGAGCATTCGGCCAAGCTGAAAGATTTTCTTGTTAAAATCTTGGTGAGTAGAGTACAGAGCAAGATGTGCACCCCTTTAGCTGCCATTTTCATTTCTAAGATGTGTTTCTAGCAGCGCTGCTAGGTGCCTCCTTTTCCTGACTCCCAAACAGTGGGAGTAGGCCACGCTCATGGCGCTTACTTTCAAGGGAAGGAAGAACGTGTCACATATCCTTGAGTTTTCAAAGGCCACCTGCAGTAGACAGAGCCCAGCAACTGATACATCTTGGTTCATTTGATTGAGAAAAATATTCCCAGCAAATATTGTCTGTAGCCAGAGAGTTCCCCGATTTTTTTAGAAGTTATTCATTTGCCCTGCTCAGTCCCTAAAGAGAAAGAAACAAAAATGAAATGTCACATGACTGGTTTTACTGGGCCTGTTGTAATTGGCCAAGATAGATGCACTCTTGCGTTCCCCATCTCCAGGCCCCAGGAGCAGAACCCCGAGAACCGCTGCCCTGGCCAATGCTGGCCTCTACTGGTGTAGACACAGGGAGTCAGGAGGCCGTTGGCAGATGCGCCCTTGAATCCAACAAAGATGGCGGGGCAGAAAAGGGGCCCCATCATACACTTACCTGAGAGTGCTTTGGCTTCCAACACCCTATAAATGAAGGTGCATTCTCTATCATCTCTTATTATAGTATGAGCACACTCCGGTGGAGAGCCATGATTGATTTACTGCATTTTTTCACTAAATCACTGGGGGAGACAAGCAAACCAAGGACTATGTCTGACTTTGGACCCCACTACCTCAGTACAGAGCCTGGCATATTAACAAATGCTGACCAATGTCTTTGAATGCCAGAGTGACCAACTAGTCCTGGTTAGCCTGGAACATTCTCAGTTCTGGTGGTGCAATGGCATTGCCTCAGGAAAGCCCTCTGTCCAGGGCAAACTGGGCTTGTTGATCACTCTGTTCAGAATGTCACAGCGATGCTCACTGACTTGCAGAATCCTGAATTAAGGTCAGCTCACCTCTTGCAAATCTGTGTAGCCTTGGTCTCATCAACCTGGGGGAGCAGGGTTTGCAAAGAACAAACAAACAAAAAGTTTTCTGTTAAAAAATCAATATATTTTTCAGACTGTTTGAAAAATTCTTTGTTTCTTTTTTCAAAAACCTGTCAGAATAATCATTTGGCATGAAAAACTAAAAGGTTGTGAGTAGAAAAGAACAAAATCGAATAAGAAGCATGACAAATCATTTCAGCTACAGGGCATACATATTGCTTTTTCCCCTCAAATTATTTGCCATGTGACTTACTGCAGACATACTGGACAATACAAAGGGATCAGAATCCTGGCTGGATTTTTTTTGGTATAAAAAAATAAGAAAGGAAATAAATGCTAAGAAAAAAGGATTATGAAGAAATTCCTCATACTTCCTTTAAAAAAAGAAATTTGTCAAGAAAATATCTCACCATTTAGTAATTCAGTTTTAAATACATTTTTTGCACTTGCAGAATTTCCCAAAATGAAATGCCAGAGAAGAATGCACATTTTACAGTCCTAAACATATTTAATATACTGTTTTTACAACAGCTGTTGCTTTCACAGAACTTTAACCTTGCTGTGTAAATGCATCCCCAGGAAAATACCCAGGTTGTCATGGAGACAACCTTATTAGCACTGGGCCCTTTGCTCCGTTGAACTGGTGTCAGCTTTCAGCCTCCCTGCATTCCAGTCTGGCATCAACCCCAGGCTACAACTCAGACTTTATTAGAGGCCCTGATGAAGAACAGCGCAGGAATCCGGGGCAATTACTAGAACTGTATGACCACTTTCCATCAACACACCTGATGGGAAACCTGTAAATTAACTCCAGAGGGAATGATGGCATTAATCAAGATGTTCTGGCATCTTCCTTGAAGAGCCTCTGATAGACCCAGCTGTCTTTTTCTAGCTAATTTCAGGCCCATCTATTGTCCTAGCAGGGGAAGATAACATTACAGCTGACATTTGGAAGATTATTTAAAGTATCATGTGACAAGTGCCATAAGTGTAAGGCTGAATTTTAGTGTTGCTAAAAGAGTTGGTGAAACTTTTGTCTCCCCTTGAAGAAATACAGAATCACAGTTGTGTTGAGTCCTGCATGCTAATTAATAATAGCATTTTCTAAAAAACTTTTAAATATTTGACTTTAAACAACATTGAGCTCAAAAGGGTCACACAAAAAAATATTGAATAAAAAAGTGAAATTGATAATCATATGTTGCTTTTTGTAAAGCATTGCCAAAGAGGAAAAAATGAGATTCTAGCCTTGGCTAACCACTTCAGAGAGCAAATTAAAACAAAATTTTTCTAAAAGAGCTAGGTTTTAGGTTTTGCAGGAGTGCATGTATGCATGCACAAGCACACACACACATGTTACTATCCCTGAAAAGTTCTTAAATTTCATTACAAGAAAATTTTCAAATGGTTTATATTATAAAACTTTCATGTATCTGTGATTTAGCCAAACAACGCACCTCATTGACCATAAAGGAAACTTACCAAAATTGTTCTCAGTGAACTGATGCCAAATTTAAAGACACAAAATCAAATCAGTATATCAATCAAACCATCATCTAGCGGCCTTGCATGGTGGCGACTCTAACATAGGCAGGGACGGAGAGTGGGCATGGACAAAGCTGAGTTTATGTGGAATCACCCTTAGAGATCTGACTGAATCCGGCTTATATTTATTTAGGCCACAAACACATGTGTGTAAATAAACCAGAAACATCTGACAATTACCATGTTTAATACACTTATTAAAAGGCGAGGAGAAAAATGGAGTTGACTTTCATTTGCTTTCTGTGCCTTTCCTCCAAAGATCAGCTGGAGTCCATATTCTGGTAAGGAACCTTCACTCAAGAGTCTGTTTGGAAGTGTCTTCTCCCTTCTGCTCACTTCCTAAAGTTCTTATTTATTTGTTCATTCAACACCAGGTTACTGAGCACATACTATGTGCTGGTCACTGTGCAAGAAGTCTAATGGTGAACCAATATATGTTGTATTGCCCTGATGGACTTTATGCCTTTCTGAGCTGTGTATTTTCTCATCTTGTAATATATTTGCTTCTGTACTTCTGTATTTACAAATGCCTTAGGGCAGAAGGTGTCCAACCACAGTTGTTTTTAATAAAATTTTTTAGTGAAATTTTCATCAGAATTTACCAGGCATTCAAGAAATTGGACATCCCATTTTGATCCATTTTTTCAGACTTATCAACAAAAATCAATGTCAAAGAAGAAAAGAGTATTACAAATAAGGTACTTTAAATATAAGCCATAGGTGTTATTCCAAATAAGAAGTTTCAAAATCAGTGGCAATGTAATAATTGTGAAATATTAAGCAATGTGTTACTTGTCCTCGATTCAAATAGCTAAGTATTAGCTCCCTTTTCATTGCCTCCAGGGAGAATTGTGACAGGATTCAGGCAGAGAAAAATGTTTTGCTGGCATTAGCTCTCAAAATCCTTATCCCTTGGGGACGTGTAGAGGGCTTCCACAGAGAGAAAATATTTGGGGAAAACATGACTGTGAGCAGTGCTTCCTGCCTCGCCCGGGACTTCTAAGATTTCCCTAGGCTTTAGGCAGAGAGGTGATGAGAGAGCAGAGATATGGGTGGGGCTGGGAGATAACAAGCTGAATTTAATGGGGCCTAAGTAGAGAGGAACAAGGACCATCTCAACAAAAGGCCACTACGAGAGGCTCACTGGTGTCCAGGTCCTGGGTGGGACTCAAAGATTAAGTAACTGAACTCTTACCCAGGGACCACTTAGTAGAAGTAGCACCCATTTGAGCTCCCACATTTTCTTTTTCTCTGTCCAGTATACTAATTAGAATAGGCTCAGTTTTGTTGCAGTAATAAGCAGCCCCAAACTCATTGGAGCGTTATGTTTTGCTCACACTGCTTGTCTGTTGTGCACTGGGGACAGTCTGCCCCATCATCGTGCTGATCCCTGTCTGAGAACACAGGAAGATATACCCATCGCCATCTGGGTCCAGGGCAAAGGGAAATGGATAGTGGCAAAGCCCAAAATGACTTGTAAAGCTTTTGTCCAGATGTGACACATGTAACTTTTGCTCACATTTCATTGGACACCACAAATAAATCATGTGGCAAGCCTAATGTCAATGGTGTACCCAGGAAAGGGAAACGTACGTTAGTAACCATCCACACAATCCACCACACCCAATCTGTGCGGCAAGCAAGCCTTCTGCAGTGTAAGGAGAGAGAGCATGGGCCTTGGATACCCAGGTGGGTGTACCTCTGTGGGTGAGTTTGTGTGAGGGAGGTAGGATGGTGCTGTGTATACCCGTGTCTGCCGGTGAGCAGAACCAGCCTGAGATACAGCGAGAGCCAGAGCAAGGCTTCACTTACTCCAGAGCGAGGCTTCAACATGCAATGGCAGCCTCATTGGGAACAAGCAGATGTGCTTCCTGAAATGACAATAAACTGTTTTTGTTTTCCTATTCACTCAATATAATTCGTTGTAATAAACTAGAAAAAAATATCATTAGTGTTCTTATCTGAAAAGTGACAGCAGTCAAAATTGCCTAAATGGTCAAAATTGACACACTGCCTAAAATTATCAATCTTCACAATGCCTGGTTCTTTATTAATGAATGCATTTACTAGGGACAAAAGTCTGGGAAACACCTAAACAAACTTATCATTATTATTTTGTCATAAAGAGTTTTCTTTTCCTGCCAGTATTTTAGTTTTGTTTTTGACTTATCTCAGCAAGATTGAGAAATACAAACTTGGGACTTTTGGGATAAAAACTAATGTTGCTAACCCTCAATGGTATTGTTTGGGCATTTGTCATTTTTAGTATTTGTATTTTAGGAGAGAGTAATAAAAGACAGAAGATAATTATCCCTCAGTTGGATAAACTTTGGGGTTTACCAGCTGAATCTAGGAAGACACCCTCAGTTGCTGACCCAGCCTTACTTATTTCCGTTATCCAGTCCTGTAAATTTTTTCTGTAAAACATCCATCATCTCAATCCTTTTATATTTTTCTTGTTGATTTCTAAGAGTTCTTATTTTATTAAAAACTTTGATCTCATCATTTCTGCAGCAAGTTACAAGAGCAGCATAGTGAATTTCTGTTGTACACAGGTGACTTAAAACAAAGAAAAAATTATGTTTAAAACATTTTGTTAAATCTTAACAAAACCTTATGTTTGTTCTAAGAGAGCTGACTGCTTCAGACTGTCCTGTTGCAAGCATCCCCAGTCATCTGCTTGAAAAGCATTCCCCTCCTGGAACCTTGCTCTACAAAGCACTGGTGCTTTTCAGCCACACTGTCTGTCTTCTTCTGGAAAGTCCTTTCCGACCACCTTCTCCACACTGCCCTCTGTTTCTGCAGCACAACCAGGCTGCAGCCCTCCATTGGGACCTTTGGTCACAGACCCTCTTGCATGATTATTCAGGTGCTGTACGTATTTACGTCTCCACTGCAGGGACTGGGTCTCCTGCTTCCTACCTGTTCTCCACAAAACCCAGCATACTTGGTAGCTACAGACCTGTGTTTCCCAAAGAGAGGATGAAGTCCTTGAGGACCAAGTCACAGGTTTTCTTTCTTTCCTCCATATTTGCTGCACAAATTGCTGGGGCCAATGCACAGTGCTCATCAATGGATGGGGCATAGGTTGTGAGAAATGGCAAAGGACAGACCGACAATCACTGTCATCCATTTGTGCCTGATGGAAAGGAGTGAGTTTATTCTACATCCTGCTCATGTTCTGCATGGTAGACTAGCATAGAGAGGCCTCATTAGGATTCCGCATAAAAGTTCTGTGTAATGATAGTAGCAAAGAGCTGGAGCAATCTTTATTGAGGTTTTGTTACTTGCAATCCAGAGTTTTGAGTGATACTGTGATGATTCATTAGAAATGACCTAATAAGGGCAGAGTACAGGTGTCACATAATTTAAAAAATCAGAACTGATCATGCTGTACTTATAATTCTGTTAACTTCTTTCCTCTCAATAAAATATGATAAAAGATTCTCCTATTAGGAAGTATTTTCTATGATATTTTATTAGTTGTGCCATTAATTATTCTATGGGATTATGATTATTGAACATTTGAGTTGTTTCCAAATTTTCAGTATTTTAAACAATACTGCAATGAACAATCTTATTTACATACCTTTGAACAATATTCCTGGTAACCTGACAGATACAAATTCTCAAAAGTTGCTCTCACTGTCAGATATTGATAAATTGTCTTCCAGAGAGGTAGATCAGTTTCCAGTCCCCTTCCACCCCTCAGTAATGCTTCGGGCTCTTTTTTCCACTCCCTAATAAGCACTGCTTCCTTATCAGGGTCCCTGAAGTTGACTGTGGCGTTTCCGTCCTGGATCCTCTCTCCACTGACCAGGAATGTGACCCAGCCATGCGACCTCAAGCACATCACTCAGCCCCGCTGGCCCGCTTCCCTCGTCTGTGCAGTTGGGATGAAATACTCAATTCCTCCTCCTCATGGAGTCCCATAATTGTATAATTCTTATCTTAAAGTCATGAGTGAACTTCCTGGCATTTAGATTATTTAAAGGGAAATTAGCACATTATTTGGATTAGAGACCCATCTACCTAGGATGCAGAGGAAGAAAGTCTTACATATATGCATCTCAGGGATGGGGATGTAGGTGAGCACTGACATGTGTTGAGTACCTGTTATGTGCATGTTGTGGACATTATTAATCTTTCAGCCAATTAAATCCCTTTTCTGACCTTGGGCAATTTCTTACCTTATGCATCTTAATGTCTGAGACATCTCCCACTTTATGTTTAAAAATGCCAGTTAATCATTCTTGCAGCCTCCGTGGCTAGCTTGGTGTCAATGACAATAATGTCCCTATTAAACCTGCTGTCCTTTGAGGTGTCAAGTCTACTTTGCTGAGACAAGTCTGAGCTGTGTTCTTCATGAGTTCGTCCCTAAGAGTTTTTTAAATGTAAGTTTCAGACATTGTGTTATTTCATGTGTAAATACCTTAGTGTAGTGGCCTCTGTTAAGGCTTCTTTAAGAATCGTAACCTCCATAACAATGTCATACTTAACAAAACCCACACTAATTCCTAAATGTCATCTAACACCGAGCCAGCCATGTTATAATTTCTCCAATCATCTTTTTAAGAAAGAGTTTATTCATTTTAGAGAGAGGTGTAGGGAGGGAGAAAGAGAGGGAGAGAAACATTGATCAGTTGCCTCTCACACGCCCCTAAGTGGGGGCCTGGCCCACAACCTGGGCACGTGTCCTGACAGAATCAAACTGCCGGCCTTTCAGTTCACAGACAGGCACTCAGCCCACTGAGCCACACCAACCAGGGCTCCAGTTGTTGTCTTTTTTACGGTGGGTTTTCTTGGATCAAGATCCAAATAAAGCTCACCAGTTGCCTTTGGCTCTATGTCTCATGTCTGTCTCTTTTATTCAACAGCCTCCTTTTATTTGTTTTCCATACTACTGATTGATTAGCAAATAACTTCCTTTTCTGTTTTAATCAGCCAAAGTAGACTTCAGTTGATGGCAACCAAGAATCGAGATGGAAACACAAGTATTTAGGGGTCCCAGTTTTACAGAAGAGGAAACTAAGGTGGGTTCATGGGGGTTAAGTAACTTGCTAAGTTTGCAAAGCTGGTGTTACAGCTGGAATTGGAATTCAAAGCTCTGACTTGACACCCATATGTAATCATGCTTTCTCCCATTTCCTTTCCAGCTCTAGCATTCTAATATCCCAGGCCTCTTTCCTCCACCCCAAGTTCATTGCGTCCAGCAGCGCACCCCAGGAATCCAGAACGCCTCGGTTCTCACTGCCAGCAGTGATCTCTGGTCGAGTCAACAAGTGTGAGCTTTATTAAACTCCATTGCACTTCCCGCCAGAGTCCAGGTGCAGATGTGAGTGAGTGAGTACAAATGTCTTTTACGTATGTATCTGTATCCCCAATGCAGTAGGTCACTGGTTGTCGAAGTGCAGTTCCAGGCCCAGCAGCAACAGCATCACCATCGCCCAGGAACTTATTAGAAGCTCCACCCCAGACCTTCTGAATCAGAAACACCGGAGCTGGGGCCCCACCATCTGTGGTTTTAATAAGCCTTCTAGGTGATTCTAACACCTGCTCAAGTGTGAGAACCACTGCACCAAGGCTTCCAACCTGTGTATTCCCACGATGTCACATTAACATAAAAACGTCCAAAAGGGTTGCCTTTGTCCCTACCTGCTCACAGAGCACATCGAATACTGCATGTAAAATGGCCTCTCTTCAATGCTGGACAATTTTTTTTATCTATCACTAAGTTTACCAGTGTACTCTTTGGTATTTAGGGAAATATTTTTTTTAATTTCATAATTTAATCTCCGATTCCTCATGTTAAAATCCCAGTATTGAATACTACCTTGTGAGAATACTATTTGTCAGAGCCAGAACTAGACAGTTTGCTTCCAGGCAAATGGCTTCAAATCTTCAGTAGCTCCCAAAAGCTGAAGGACTTCCAAAGGGCCTGGCTGGGCTGCGGGGCTTACTGCCCCTGGCGTGGTCTCTGGCTCCATTGTGTCTGCAGGCTGATGGGGGACTGGAGAGGGTCCAGAAGCTTGAAGAGACAATAAGGGTAGGCAAGGGAGATGTCTGCTGAATAGGTAGAAGGCTTAAAACTGTGTAACATCTTTAAAAATCATTAATGAAATGTTTGTGTTCTGTTTTTGTCCTCTGTGGTAAGCTCTACTTGCCCTGTCTTGTTCTAGCTCAATTTCCTTACCTTGACCCATCTGGCCAAAATTCCTGTCACTGGGTTCATGCTATGTCCCTCTCAATGGGTGAGAACAGGCGCGTGGCTCACCATGTCTGTGGGCCTCCATGCATGTTCCTGGTGGGGCAGCACCTGATCCTCGGCCTCCCCACCACCATCACCGGGCGTAAGCCTCCTGGGCTTCTGACCCACCTGGGCCACAGGCTGTCACTGGCCTCTCCTCAGTGGTGAGCTTGCTCCCTCTCAGCCTGGATTCTGGACTCACACTTGAAGCCCCACTGAGAGACAAAGAAGAACTGCAGGACCATTCTTTGCAAAGCACCATCTGTTTTTCCTCTCTTGTCTTGGCTTTTTTTCTCTCCTAATTTTTATTTTTTTCTAGGACAGAGTAATACTTGAAGAATTACCTAACACCTTCCTCCTCAATCTGTTCGTAGACTGCAGCTTCCCCTCGGCAGCTTTCTGGGCCATACCAAATTTCCCACCAGTGAGAAACAGGCTGATGTGGCTGGAGTGTGTCCACTCCCGGGGGTGCTGCGCGCGCACACACAGAACGCCTCACACGCGCTTCTCCGTTCCGCAGCGTTTCCCCTCCAGAAAGTTAATGAAAGATCCCCGCAGCAACTAAAACCACCGACACTGATTTTACCTAGTAACAAATTGGAAATTTCTGGGAAGAGTTTGCCCTGGGATGTTTGGGCTTAATATTTATAGTTTGTGTCACATCATGTCTTATCCAAGACATCACTCCCCTTCATTAAGTGAAAAGTAAATACATCTCTAGTGTTACAAAAACAAGCGGCTATTTACCCAGAGCCAGTTATCTGAACCCAAACCCTCTCTTTTGGAGCCTGAAGGGGGAGGCTGGCCTGAGACCACAGCCTTTTCAACGTGAATAGGCAGCGATTCATGTGCCAAGGTGCCTGGCCTGAGAGAACAATAAAAGAAAACTCTTTTATCCCCCACCTTCGCTGGGTCTCTCCATTTCTTTTAAGGTTGTCATGGGCTCTTAACATGATACGAGAAGGCGCCTGAGGATCACTTACTTCTCTTGGCATGGGAACGTTTCGGAGTTTATTCTCTGCCATCAATCTCTCCTTCCCCTTGGCTTTCTCACCAGGCTCCAGCATGAAAAATGAGAATGCTCCGATCTCACATATTAAACCATAACTAATTATTATTAGATCAGTTTTCACTCTTTCCCAACCCAACTGTCAAAGGCGAAGGTCTTAATTTACTAGCTCCGGTAGGACGACCGCTCGGGTAAGGAGGAGGAGGATGAGAGGTTCCAGGGGTGGACTGACTTCAACTGGCTCAAAAGCCCAGTAAGTTAAAAAGCTTTTAAGACTTTGAAAGGAACGGACTCCAGCCCCTCCAATGCTATAAATGTCGCTGACGTTCTCTGAACCGAGGAGAGATGCCTGTGGGAAAGCTGCAGTCACTCAATTCAGCGACGAGCCCACGTGAAAGACCGGCGCTGGGAGCACAGAGCCGCCACATTTCACGTCTGGAAGACACCCCCATGGTGACCTGCGCCACAAACTCCTCAAGTCAGGGGTGAGGAGAGCAGGTTTGCAATGATGCTGGCCTTCGCTTCCTGTGGCCATCTGGAGATCGTGTCCACCCCTTTACCATCATCACGGGGCAGGAAACTGGTCGCGGGTCAATGGAAAGTTGAGGGATAAAATCGCGAGGTCCCATGGTTCGCTCCTGTGTTTCTGTGCTAAGGAAAAACTCAAGATGATCCAGATCAAGTCTAAATTCCTCCAAGAGGCACGTAGAGTCTCAGGATCAGAGCGGGCGCACAGACGCTGCGGTCTGCCACGGGGATGGCCTGGGACTGAGTCCCCATCCTGCCTTCATGAGTCTTAACCTTGGGCAGCTTCATTACTGTGAAAAGCTGTTCCTTGTAGTGAAATGGAGGTGATAGCACCCCACTCATGAATTCCCATGAGAATATAAAATGTTTAAAGTCGTGATTAGCCCATAATAGGCCCTCATAAGTCTTAGAATAGATGATGTTAGTATCATTACATTGCAGTTAAGAGTAGTTGTGGTATCAGAGAAATCATTCAGAGTTCTACAATTTCTAGAAAACTGTGAGGTACTTAAAATATTAAGTTAAAAGGAAATGAATAATTCTATATCATCTTAGGACCTTAACTTTTGAGACTTGCCTCATCTAAGAGAAATGTTGAAACTGTATTTACTAGCACAAGAGATTTTCTTTTTCTATTCTCTCAGTTTCTTCATCAAAGGTCCTTGAGTGAAACACACACCCCCAGTCCTCCTTGCTCCCTTTAGCCTGGTCTCCCCTGTGGTGTCTGCATTCCCATACAAGACACCAAGAGGTGCCCACCTCCACTGCGCTGTTTACTTGCTACAGACAGGATTTCTGTGACTGCCTGTAACATAGCTCTTGGATAGGAATGGATCATAGTGAGTGGGTGGGGCCTTTTTTGCAAGGATAAAAGGTGAGGGAATGAATGTGAAGGTAGAGAGGGAATGGGCAGGGGTTAAAAAGGATAAGGAGAGATTTAAAAGAAAATAGAATATTCCTCCTTGCCAAATCTGAGAGGGATTTTGCTTGTGATCCTATGAATTTTGAAGGGTTTTGTATGTTAATTTTTCTTAGGGGAGCAGACAAGGATACTTGCATTAGAGTTGGGAGAAGGCAGTTATTCGTGTGTGGGCTATGGATTGTGGAAAGGCAAGGACCAAGGCCAGGTAATGTGGAAGTTTCACAAAAGAGCACCAGGGTGAGAAATGTTCAGACTAAAAGGCCCCCTGATTTTTAATGATCCCAAGGGAAGTGAAAGGTCTCATAAGGCAAGAAACATGAGGTATGAAAGGGAGCAAGGGGGTTAATTAGCTTCAAAGGAAAGCCACTAAATTATTGTTGCATTTAGCATTTTTATTGGTAAATTTTATGCCACTGGTACTTGTAAGGTAAATGGGTAGGCTAAGAACAGAGCTCTGTTTTGAGGAGTAGCTAGTTTCTAAAGCTAACAGATTTTAGAGAAGTTAGGACAGAAGCTTGTACATCTGCTCACACCAAACGTATACAGGTATATTATAGAAGCACATGTATGTATGCATTTCTCTAACCCTTGAAAAATAATCCAATTATGGTTTTGGGGACTGGGATCCTTCTGGTTTTATAACTTCACTCTCCTTCTCATTCTGTTTTGTTTGTTTGTTTATGCTGTCACGGTTGTCCCTGCTTTCTCTCCTTTTGCCCATCTCCACCCAGTTCCATCCCCTCCCCTCCCTCAGTCAGTCCACATATGTCTGTGCCCACGGGTCATTCATAAATGTTCTTTGATTAATGAACCCGGGGTGTCCAACCTTTTGGTGTCTCTGGGCCACACTGGAAGAAGAAGAGTTGTCTTGGGCCATACATTAAATGCATTACAACACCTAATTGCACACAAAAAATCTTATAATGCTTTAAATAAATTTATGATTTTGTATTGGGCCACAGCCATAACTATTCTGGGCCACATGCAGCCCCTGGACCTCAGGTTGAACACCCCTGGTACTCATTCTTATCTCAAAACTGTGAGTGCAAGTTTTTCTTCAGTGGGGGCTTAGGCAGGGTTCATGTGAGGAAAGAGAGATTTGAGATCTTGGAAACTCAAATCTCACTGTTAGTTCTCAAATTCAGGACTCACCGAGAATGGGCCATCAGGGTTGATATCTGTAACATGCAGAAGTGCTGAGCCTATGCTGCAGTGCAAACAACCTAAACTTTTAATCAATAAAACTGAGTATTTTTGATCCATGCGTGAGAATCTATGTATGTGGAGGGCTGACTTAAGATAAACCTGGACTTTCTACTTCATGGGTAGCAGGTGTCCCGACCCCCTCTTGCTCACGCTGGTCCACTGGGCAACCTCAGCAGCTATTTCCATGTGAGGCTTGGTGTTGCTCCTCCCTGCTTCCCAAGTCAGGGAAAGAAAGACAGAGAGTTTATTGCTTTACCTGGAAGTGAAAATGCCACTTCTGCTCATACTTCATTGGCATAAACAAGTCACATAGCCACACTTAATTTCAAGGGAGGAATTAAAATTCCCAGAAGGAGAGAAGAACAGTAGTAATCTTAGTACAATGTCCCTCAGTCATTCTGAAAATAAAAAAGCAAATAGCACCACTGTCCTATCTAAACATTCTCATAACGCGGAGACGTTAGTCATTCTCTGT